CACACACACACACACACACACACACACACACACACGAGCCCCGTTCTCAATCCCCTCAGGTTTTGCCTCTAAAACGATAAGAGGGTGGACTCTAGAGCTCGAGTGCCAGATAGGAATCTGAGGCCCACCACATTCCAGCTGTGTGACCACAGGCAAGTTCCTGAACCTCTCTGTGCCCGGATTTCCACATCTACGAACAGAGGTGACAAAGCACACCCCTCCTGCTCGGGGTCGATGTGAGGCTCCAGCAAGCAAATAGCAGGCCTTCGGGTGGAGGCTTCCTGGCACTTTGCAAGCATGCGGTAAGTGGTATTATATCGATACCCTCTCAGCACTGGCAGTAGACAAAGTCAAGACAGACCAAGAGAACTGGGATGAAATCAGTGTTGGGGAGGGCCGTGTTCTTTTACTACAAGGTGTTTGCCTGGAAGAAGCAAGTTACACCGGGAGGCCTGGCACTGAGAAGGCAGCCTGACGCAGCAGGAAACAGGTGGGCACTGCACCTGGACAGACCTGGGTTCACATTCCCTCTCCTTCCCGAACCTCGCTTTCTCCATTTCTACGAGGAGGCGGTAACCCCTAGGCTGCAGGGGGAATTTAGGGAGCTCACTCTGCACGGAAGGAAACATTATGTGTACCTTCGGTGACATCACACACCTGGGGGACCCCGACAGCAGATGCCCAGGGGGTGCAGGTCTCCATCCTCGCCCCAGGTGGGGATTTCCCTGCCTCCTGTGCAATGGCAGTCAGTCTCTGGGCACCTCCTTTACAGTATTTGTCATCCCAGAAGGCAGGTGTCCATGTCTGCGCCCCGGCCCCCACCAGAACCTCAGCTCCTACAATGGACTTTTGAACCTGAGCCACCCAGGGGGCTGGGGAAACACCTCCACCAAGTCCGCGGACAGTCAGTGGGAGAAGAGCCCCCAAGGTGTAGCATGCTTCTTGTCCATAATCCCTGGCCCATGGGGGCCTGGCTCTGTGCCCACAACAGGGGTCAGCGATGCCTACCAAGGCCAGGGCCCATCTGCCCCCAGCCAGCCAGCTGGCTCTCTCCCCTCCACAGGTGAAAGGTGAGTGTCTCCTCCACTCCTCCGCCAAGAGGTCGGTATTTTTAGCCTCTAGCTCTGGGTGTCCTTGGACGAGACTCAACATCCCATGCCCTTCACACCCCCTCTGGTTAATTTGCTCTCCAGAAGGAACAAAGGCATGGCTGCAGTGGTGGTGGGAGCCTGTGGGGGAAACCTAAACCCAGGAGACCAGGAGAGTGGGCTGGGTGGGCAGAAAGCACATGGTAGAGGAGTGCAAGGGGCAGGGGAAGGACGTGTCTTAGGGAAGAAACCACCGCCCTGGCTTGCCTCCATCAGGGTACATATTAATAACAGGTAATGTTGACTGGGCATTTCCTACAAGCCCAGTGTGCTCCCAGCACATTATATATATTAACTCAATCCCCCCAAAATCTATGAGACTATGACATAGGGACTATTATCCCCATTTGACAAAACAGAAGCACAGAGAAGTCAAGTAAATTGCCCAAGGTCACAGAGCAAGTCTGCGGCTCAGCCTCCCCACTTCCCCCACCAGGTTGTTTGTTTCCTAAGGTGGACAAAGGAGGGGTGGACTGTGGGGCCTGGAGCCTTACTGGGGGGTGTTACCTAGGTGATGGGAGTTTATGTAGGGGGCTGGGTGGGAGGGGAAGGGGGTGTCTGTCTTGAACGGATGGAGCAGTGATGTGGTGAGTCTATTTCTCAGATCTCAAGGTTCAGTCCTGTGCCTGCTTCAGGTCCCTGTTCAGATGTCCTCTCCATCCTACCCAATCCTCCCTAACCCCTCATCTTGCTGCATTTTCTCATCACTGTCACTGCCACCACTTGCTGTGTGTATTTCTTTGACTGTGTGTTTACTGTCTGGCATCCCCACCTAACAGAATAAGGATTTGGTCCGTCTTGTTTGCCGCTGTGCCCCCAGCACCGAGCACAGCACCCAGTATGGTGTGGTTGTTTGATAAGTATTTGCTGATATATGGGACTTAAACAGCACCCTCCTAAATCACCAGCAGACCCACCAAGAAACCACAAGAAACAAGGAACCCCGGATGAATAAATATGAAAACACAACGTACCAAAACTTAGAGAAGATGCAGCCAAAGTAGGGCTCAGAGGTAAACTGATAGCCTATACTGATAAGTGTTTGTTAAATGAGCAAAGGAACAAGACTGAGCTGACCAGAACCCCCTGAGGGAGGGAGGGGGACGTTTAGCAGAGATGGAGTTGACACGGGGTGGAGGTCCCCAGAAGAAGGAATTCAAGGGCGGTGATGTTGTAAGGAGGGACCCAAAGGCGAGTGGGAAGATGTGAAGGGCTACTGCTGTGAAGAGCAGGGAGGAGCACTGGGGGATGGAAGTGATCAGGCTCCCAGTATTTCCACTGGGAAATAAGAGGCATTTCCTCTTTCAGGGGATCGCAGCCTTAAATCGGTGTCTTTCTAAGGGGAGACGCATCCTATGGAGAGAAGCATGATGGGGGCATGTCCCAAGGGGACAGCAACTGCACTCGTAATCGTAACAGCTCACGTTTGTGTTTATTGTTCAACCAGTTTGAGGTGCAGCATCGTGAGGCCTCATGATGGTCCTGTACTGTTATCAGCTCCATTTTGTAAGTGGGAAAACTGAGAAAGGGGGGGTCATTTCCCCAAGGTCACATAGCCAGTCAAGGGGAAAGTAGGTATTAGATTCCAAATCTCTCTGATACCAGGACCTGTGGGCCATTCTGCTACAATAGGTTCGACTTGGGATGAAGCTGTACTCTGTTAATAACAGTAACGTGGACACACGTACCGCGTAGTGTGAAGTGCTTTCTACCTGCCTAGTGCTCTTCTAAATCCTTCAACGAATCTTCCTACTGAGTCAAGAAGATGGTGACCACTATCAACTCTGTTTCACAGAGGAAGAGACTGAGGGCCGGAGACATAAATTCATCTCCTAATGTCATACCAGTAACAAGCCGTGGCAGAGCCAGGAATAGGAGGCAGGCAGCAGGGCTCCAGAGTGCGTGCTGTTACCCACTACAGCATGCTGTCTTTCAACATTCTCTCTCCAAAATAAAGGAAGGTCCCCCACTCTGCCTTATACTAGAAATACACTTCGCCGCACCCACTTCCTTGATACCCGAGCCCAGAACCAGCCACCAGGATCTTCTGAACGCTAATAAGCACTGTACTACGTATCTTATGTGGTTTGTCTCCAACTTCATAACACACTCATCAGATAAGCATTACTATTATTCTCATTTAACAGACGGGAGGACTAAGGCCAAACCACGTCCCTCCTCTGTTCAAACCCTGCAATGACACCCATCCCACTTAAAGTCAAAGTCTCTATGATGACCTACATACCCTCCATGGCCACCTGGCTGCTCCTCCAACATGCCAGCATTCCTACCCCAGGGCCCTTGCACTGGCTGTTGCTTCTGTCTGGAATCCTCTGATTGCTATCTCTATACCTCTCTCTCCCTCACCTCTTTCACACCTCTGCCCAAAGGCTGTCTCCTCAGTGAGGCTCTCCATGGCCCCTGTAACCTGTCATCCACACCGACATTCCGGCTCTTCCCAGCCTGCTTTGTTTCTGTCCTTACCTGTCAGCATCACCCGATAAACCACATATTCTGCTTGTCTTGTTGTTGCTGGCCTCCCCCTCTAGAA